TTATCACCTTCTTCCTCGCATTTCTAATACGCATTCAGACTCAGAGTCCCACTTTTCGTATTCTTCCAACAATGGACACTTCCAGAGAGACCTTATTCACTGAGCATTCCTCATTCTTTATTCAACTATTTGAAAAAACAGAAATTCCTTATATCACTGGGTTCTTTTTTGTGATTGTCAGCACTACCCTGAGATGGCTTTACTTGCTACCACGAGTTTAGGAATGGCCTGTGTCCCCTAAAGCATATTTAGTATTTCCGATTACAACCGGCAGAACAACGAGCAATTGCCTTAATAGTTGGTTGTTGAGTTACTTAAAGCTCAACAACCAAGCAACCCGGATTCGAATCTCAGCTCACCCAACCGATGACGTGTGAGAACTAAGACAAAACCATCCTAGTCTTCCCCATCTTTTTTCGATACTTCTACCTGATTGATTTCTATTCGGCCTTATTTTTCGTGCTCCAAAATCGTTACGCCTCCCCGCTCCCTCAATAGCAGTGCATTTGATACTTTCAAGCGTCATATCACTGAGCGTGGCCTCCGTTATGTCGGGGTGATTTGGAGCATTTTAAGCGGCATGTTTCCTTAACATATTAGGGGACTGTGTATATTTAGAAGACTTTCACCCCTGAGCTCTAAGAGCCCGGAGATCGCATGCTCCACTGTAACTACGACTGAGTTGTTTGCTTCTATTTATTTGTAAGCGGGGCCATTCCTATCCGTATTTTTTCCGATTCTACCTAGCTCTCAGATGGATGCATGCATTATCTGACTCCATCGTAAACGGTCATTTACTTAGATAATCTACATACTACTCGTGCTAGGCGAGTAGCCATGGATTATTACTATTTAGACTCCACCAGTGTTTCGCTCTTCGCTTGCGTCGATAGGGACGCCAAACCGCGTAGGCCTCAGACAATTCAGTGAAGCGCCTGAGTGAGCAGTAGGATATAAGCCAGACTATCCAGAAATAGTTTCGCGAGTACGTATCGCTTCAACCATGTCCCTTACTTGTCCAAAATTCGGCATCCCATCATGTTTGG